GAGTCAATGTAAAAGTAATATTTCTTGAAATAGACCTCCAAAATATCCCATCGCTATTAAAGATTAATGTTAATAATAATAATAATTACTGAGGTCATTGATATATTTTTGTAGTCATCGAAATGCAGCTATATTACTAAGGAACTATCCTCAAAATCAATAACTGTGTAATTAATTCTATATCTCTAAACTCCTTAGTTTAAATAAATATGAAGTGAATCGTTAAGTATCCTAGTTGCATTTATAATTGGAATCATTTAATAGTTAAATTTAATTTTTGCCTATCCATCCTCTCTAATTTCTTGAACTTTAGCTTTTAAAGTTCCTGTTAAATTCAATTTAGAGACACGCTACTAATATTAGATTTCATTTTCCACCCCTATTTAAGTTGCTTGCATGATATTTAACTTGAATTGATAGATATTACTCATCGGTTTATCATTATAATCAAATAGGACTAGAGTAATGTTGTATTACCCATTATCTCCAAGTAATGGTTTTATGCTTAAGAAGTTCCGAAAAACTAGATATGTAAAATTATAGACCTTTTCATTGTCAGAATAGAATCTTAAATCAAAGCGATCATTTTCTTTATCAATTATTTTAGGCAGCATAAATTTTAGAATCTAATTTTCATACACAAAGGCATCTTCAACATTCTTTAGAAAGTATGGAGGAGTATTAAATATCAACCAACTTGGCAATTTAACCACTAACTCCCAATCAAAGTTAAAATGATAATCTTTATCGTGTCTAGATAGTTAAATAAAGAATCTTATTTTGTAAGTTCCTACATCTCTTATGTTGTTACTTAAAACTGAGCACTCAGTTCTTTTATCTATATCGCATGTTATGAATTTGGGCAGACTAGTACCATAATTTTCAATAGATACATTGTACTTTGCTGATTCTCCTTAGCATTAACTTTAACTTAATATTAAGTCTTGAAAACTTTATTTGAACTATTCTTTTTAGCCAACATAATAAATATGCTTGCCTATGAGTTTAGAATTTTATTCCTGATTTCTTAGATGCTACAGACAATTAAAATGTATTGAAAATTTTCTTAATACCGCAACTTTATCCGCGAACTATAATTAATCTTGCTCTAAATAAATTTCATATCTTTAATAGTAATCTCCTTTTTCTATAGTTTCAACTGCAAATACTTTAAGATACAAGTCTTAATTTTGAACAAAATCATTTTGCCTAAATTAATACTTTTCACTGACAGCAGTATATGACTATCGAAATATAGTTAGATTAATTATAGAGGCGTCTGTGCAATTAGGCAGGGTAAAATTTCCTAAAAGAATATAGCAAGTTTCATTTAAATAGCAGTCATATTTATCTAGCAAACCATTTGTTGTAATTGAAATATTCAACTATCCTGTTTGATAAGGTCTGTCCTCTATTAAATTTTTTGTGGTTATGATATTATTCAGCTTTAATTACCGAATCACTTATATCAATTTTATATCCCTTGTCAAAAGTAAAAAAGAGATTTGTGATATTATCATAAACTTCCATTGTCAATGTTTAAATATTACTACCTTAAGTAATGGTATTATCATATAAGCGATCAGATAATATACTTTATGTATTGACCTCCTTAAGATAATCATAGCTAAATGACTTTTATAAATCATTATTCCACAATACAGCTGTAGAATAAGAATTACCTGGTGACTAAAATAAGATATTACCCACAAGGTAGTCGAATTAGAATTTATTAGAAAATATCAAATGCTTTACCATTATGTTAACATTCCATTCTATAAAATTAAAGCTAGCCACTACATATTAGTACTAACTAAGATTTTTGATTATCTAGTTATCAGTATCAAGAGACAAAACTTTGTTTATTCCACCAAGAGTTTTAACTGCATAATATATCTTTAATGATAATGCATTTTATGTTTAGTTTAGTCTCATAGATATGCATTGAGAACTTTAGTAAGTACCTTATTATGCAAAAGAAAATCCCTCTGATTCATATATATCATTGAGAAGAAAGCTAATATATCCAAGTATGAAATTTCCAGAAACATCATCATTCATCTCAATACAGGTGAATGCTATTTTAGAGCGAGAATCAATAATACTTAACCCGATATAAGGAGTCTTAGAAAAGCCTCTCATTTTAACTGATATTCCAAAGATAGATTTCATTTAATTTAACTCAATCTAGAATGAAAAAATACGCTAATCAGAACTTGTAAAATCGCTTCCAAATACAAAGAGATCATTTGCTATAGACAGTGAAGATGCTAAACCCTTGCTAATCAATTTCGCTTGCCTTAAACTGTTTTAATAAGAATTAAATTACCATTCTAATAGAGATTTCTCAAGATTTATTTTAAGGAGTTGAACACCAAGGTTCTAATCCTATACACTAACAAATGCTTATTGTGAACCGCTCAAAACAATCAACTGTCGTCTAAATTACTATTACTGGGTTGATAGTATCAGAATGCTTAGAGGTTATCCAGTATTAATAAGAAATTATCCGATGCCAACAATACTATTAGATAATTCATCAAGCCCATTCATTAATGCAGTTATTTAATAATTACTATCAAGATTGAATGAATTATAGATAGTCTTACCTTGAAGCCATTGATTCGACACTTGTTAATTATCTTGTAGTAACTTACTTCTCCAGCAAGCTATCATAATATTGCAACTTGAAGCTATTAGCCCAGCCAAGTTTATGAATAGGATTTTTAAATGTGTATAGTGCAATGAATGGTTCAGATTTACCATTTATGTTTTAACTACCGCCATAAATGATCATGTTTTTTGCTTCATTTAAGATTAATGTATTCGCGAAATAATTTTTTATAATAGAATCCTCGGACTAATCATCGGAAAAAATTAGTGGTAGCTACTTAGGCTCTGAAATGCATAGATTTCTATATTTATCTGATTGATCTAGGCCATATATCAGTCTAAGACTCAAAAAACAGATTTTTGCAATAAACATAATGTTTAAGAAGTGTAAGCTTATTCTCATTCAATTAATTAATAATAAAGTATAGCTATATATACCTAATTTTGTAATTAGTATTTAATAATATGTGCTTAATTTTCAATTCATTGAAAATAGCTTAAATAAAAGCATCAAGGGGTTTTGGGGTTTTGGGG